GTTTTAGAGTGGATCTATTTTTTTGCTTAGTTTTTTTTTTTTTTTTAAACTATGGTAAGTCTATTTTATGGATCACCCTATGTATTTCCCACCTTAAAGTCACAGGAAACATGGTTCTAATTTTGGGTAATTATGATCAGAAGTGGTAAATGAAAGTCTGCAGACAACAAGTTGTCTTAGGGCTTCAGGTTGGCCACCCTGTGTAAAGTTGTAGATTCTTGATAGCAATGGTGACCATGAAAATGATGATAATGATAATTTGACAAACCTACTTTCACTGATGATACTATATAAAGGTGGCCTGTGAGAGCTATTTCATGTAATCAAGCTATGCTTTTAAGAACTATACTTATCACTGGACAAAAATAGCAAGAGTTCTGTTATGTGAGTTCTGTTATGAGATATAAAATTATGAAACACGGCATACTAATTAATATAGCACAGTCTACAGAGACTACCACAGGGCATTGCTCCTTATACTAAGGTAGCTTGATCATCACTATCCTGCCAAGTGACAATAAGTGGTGGGACCTAGTGGGACCATGGAGGCGTGGCTTCTCCATAGCCACCCCAGCCCTTTGGAATAGCCTCACACCTGAGATTTTGGGGGGGGCGCTACCCTTTTAATCTTCCAGAAGACCATGAAGACCTGGCTCTTTCCCCAAGCATTGGGCCAGGGTGGGGTTGAGTCAGGGAGTCAACAGCATGGGTAGTTTTGGCACCTTGGTGGGAAGGGTACACAATGTGTTTTTGTGTTGTTGTTTTTACTGGTTGCTGTGAGCTGCCCAGGACCACTGTGCGAGATACGTGGCTGTATAAGTTCTATAAACAAGAAAGCAAGCAAGCAAGCATTAACCAAATTGAAGGAGGACTTGTTTTTTTAAAGAGGATTATACAACATACCCACAGCATATATGCGAGAAAACATATAGCAAACATATGATAAAACAATTGTCTCTAAGAACCTTTGTCTAGAACAGCTGGGATATTCTTACAAAACAATGGAGTCTGTCAAAATTAGCCTATGTGAATCTCCTAATTCAGGCTAAATACATTCACATTCATTTTGCAAGATTAGTAAAATCATTCTTCCTAAACAGGCAAGTCTGTTTAACATTATTCTAAAAATAAAGGTGCAGCAGAATTATATTCTCATAATATTTCAAATAGCAACTAACTTCCAAACTCTTAACCTTAAAAGCAATTGGGTCACAAGTCTCAATAAAAAATAAATAAGAATGTATTATTGCTAATCAATTTCATTGGGTAACCTAAGTTGTGGTGTTATGAGAGTGAAATACAGCTGTCTATTAGCTCTACACCATTCACAGTTCTGTAAACCCTTGCCCGTCTTAGGGATTTTTTTCTAAACTGAGAAGCCACAATTCTTCCCTTTCTGTAATAACTTTCTACTTCAGAAAGAATATGTCAAAAAGAGGGTTTTCCTCCCTTTCTTCTTTATGCTGTTTTTAAAATGCAAAGGATGCAAAGATGATTTTTCTGGTCATCTTGGTTAGTACACAAGCAGCTATGCTTTCCAGCAAAATCAGAACCACAGAGCATCATTTTTAAAAAGGATTCTATATAAAATGCATCCTTGAACTATATTATATTTGCACACTTGTTAAATGTGTATATCTTCCTAGCAGTGGTGTTCTAGGTTGCCACTGCATAAAGACTTGCTATCCATACAATATTACATTTCCGATATCAAGGTATGAACAAATTTTAGCAAACAGCTAGAGTTCTAAAAAGGATAAATTACATGGATTGTCATTTCTACATGTATAGACAGATCTTTTGACCTCTGTCATTTGCCAAATATCACTGAGGGCATCCATTCAGAAATAGCAACGTGTGAGTGGAGCTAGTACACAAAACAACCAATCTGATTTTAAATAACAACAGCAACAACCAATAGTAATAGGTATCTTGGGTGCAAGCCCAAAACATCTGGAGCACCACTTGAACACCATCGGCATTGACCAAATCACCATCAGTCAATTGCAAAAGGCAGCTTAACTTGGAACAGCTTATATCCTGTGATGATATCTTTAACACCATCAAACAACATCTGTCTATCTCAGGTCCTTGGGAAGGACAATAGGTGGACAAAAATGCCAAATCCAGTCTAAACATCTGGCTGACTGTGTGACCAACCATAATAATAGTATCAGTTTCTTGTGAACTCTTTCTGGCTACATTTCTATAATGAGGGATGAAGTAATGAGGAGCAAGAAGACTATAAAATGATTTTTTCTTTATTTTAATGTAATCATTATAAGAAGTTTGAAGAGTTACACCTAAAATTTAAAAAGAAGTAAATGTTTTAAAAGATACGACTTAAATCCCATCTCAGCCACCGCTTCTTTCTCTCAGCCTAAGCTATGAACAATTACCAGAAAGTAAGCCCCAATTAATTCAGTGCAGTTTACCTTCTAGTAAATATTCATTGAGTTGCAACATTTAATGAAAAAAAAGTTCATGTTTCTTCAAAACTGTGGAACAATCATTTATCTCCATATTAATATAGCTGCTGCAGGTTTACATCTAGCTAGATAGGATATTGCTTAATACTGTTGCCTAGATGGGAACAGGGGTAGTGAATATTCAGTTCTGAGATTCAGTTCAAAGGCAATTCAATCAAATCCCCAAACAGAATTGGATTTCCAAATCAAAGTGATTATTTGACTGAAATCAAATCAGATTAGACATATCTGAATTAATTTAATTTTAACTTATTCCTATGCCTTTTGCACTTGCTCAGATGTGTTTTCACTACATGAATAAGTTCAAATCACATAGGTCCAACACAGATTGTTCCACTTGAATTCACACATTTGATCTGAACTGATCGATTTTCCAAATCAAATAAAAACTTGGATTAAACCTAAATTGGATTAGATCTAAATTGCACAGGCCTAGATAATATGACAATACATAGAAATGCATATATGAATATGCAATCCAAGCTTCATGTAAACATTTGTAAAATTGCAAGGAGATGGAGATTAGGAATGAAATACAACTTTTCATCAGATAAATTCATCAGGTAGGTATTCCTGGATTGCCATTATTATTCTCTGGGACTACTCTTTCAGTAGATGTAATGCTCTTATCTATTGTAATGGTGGTTAATACGAGCGCTGTAATACCATTCCACATTTTGATACAGGAATGACTTAAATTTAATATCAGGAGTTTGGACAGAAAGAGATTAAAACATTGGACTAATAGATTTAATGTATAATCTTCCTACTCACTGAGACATCTGGGAATGTGTCAAAGAATGGTGCTCTCATTTGTTTTGAAAGGTGATTTACAAAAAAAGCCCTTAAACTATTTCATATTTGTAAAGATAATGAAAAACTGAGCTGCATGTACATTTTTGGTTAATATACAATGGAGTATATTATATTTACAACACATGTAAATTTTAATACACACACACACACACACACACACACACAGCCTATTTATTGTGGAAGAAAATCCTTGTGAGAATATATATAGTTTCAGCACTAGCATTACATACAAAAATACTTGAAAAGACAAGATTGCTCAGACAATTATATATAGGCAACATGAAGAATCATGCATATGCACAATGTTTTCCTGGGCTTTAATATTCATGAAATGTACTCCTATCTCAACATATGATAATTACACATGAGGTATAGGCAGGTAGGACTTGCATAGCACAAGCAGTTATCATGTAAACTTACCCATTTACTAAAAATAAAGTCCCAAGTAAGGGGACTTAATCTGAAGTAAAAGTCCTAAGACCACAGCCTTAGAGAAAGATAGTTTATCATCATGACTTTTAAAGTAATAGCTATATAAATCTATTTATAGTCACATCCTAAATAATATTGAATGTTTCTAACTATAACTAAAAGTACAAACTGAATATTTGGTGTATCTTCATTTACTCTGCTGCTCTTGGTCAACCATTCCATCATTTATCAAACCATAAGACAAGTCAAATCTTCTCTTGGTTTTCGAATACTTAAGCAAAGTTTATAGAATAATCTGAAAAAAGGCGCACCAAAGTGCTAAGCATTATTTACGAGGAAAGATGATCCACGACTGAATTGGTTCTTAAGAAACTGTCTTTAGAAATGGGACAAATAGATTACAGTGAGATTTAATTCTGCCTGATTGTTTCTCAGCTATGTCAAGTATATGTAGAATCTACCTCTTGCTTTTGACCAAATGCATACATGTTTCTCGACTTAATTTATATGTGAAAAAAAGTCTTAGAAAACTATAAAGCTACCATATTAATTGATTCAGTAAACGGGATGAGGCATCTTCAGAAAAGGAAGGGTCAAGAATCCTAGAATTGTCAAGTTATTCTAGTGTTTCATTAAAAAAAAAAACAACTCATATTTTATCCTGAGTATTCCATTCAACCAACCTGGGCTGGGAAATTATTATTTCTTTTTCATCCTAAACTGGAACTGCTGAGAAAACTATATGAGTTGGGAGATAAATGGATAGACTGGCCATACATGTTCATTACCCTTCGTGTTACAGCCAGGTATTATGCATCCATAAACGTATATTTCAACCACAAAGACAGCTTTCTTAATAAAGTCTACCAACTTACTAAAGCCTTAAAATAATATGGTGCCTTATCACTGAAAGCAGACAGAGATAAAGAGTATGAGAGAGGAAATACTAACTTCCCATTCAATAGGCACCACCACAAAACTTTCAAGAATTATGAGGACCAGAAATGTGGCAGTCTTCAATAGCAAATCAATTTGGTTGGCAAAGGCAGAAAGCCAAAACTATAATTAATTCACATACTCACAGGGGAAATGAGGGAAAAGCCTTCCATTTTGCAAGCCTGCAACATTCAGCCAACTTCTTCGTGAACTAATGTTCTAATTTGAGTTATCCAGCTTTTTGAAAAGACATCAAACAAAAGAAAAAAATTAAAAAGTGAAACAAAATTCCTGGGATTCCTTGAAGACCCTTTGCAGTGATTAAGCCCAGAATAAAAAAAAGACCTTAATCATTTTTCATACTTTCCCACAAGAATTCTAAGGTGAGCTCTTTCCTTAGATGTATCTTTAGTTCCTGATTTCTCCAAGGCTCTGTAGAGCATAGATAGTCTTCAAACTGTTACAACCCAGTGTGACATCAGAACAGCAAGCCAAGTTTGCATAAATCTCATTTCAAGGAGCTGTGGCATTATAACAGGAAGTGTGTCGCCAAGCTGATCAACCATTGGCAGGTGCCTGCTACAAAATGAACAGCAGATTTCATAACTTTGAATACGGCAAGAACAAACAAATAGATACAATAGATAAAATTCCAGACTGCAAAGGAACTGGAATTTTTAAAATTTCTTTCTGGAATAATTAAGACACGCATGCCTGCCTTAACATTTTATCTAGGAACCATTCATGAAGATTAGCCCCATCCTAATGATTTCTTTTAATGAAGATTCAGTCTAATCTTTTTGTAAGAAATGAGAAAGAAGTTTAATGGATAAGTAATTTTTAAAATGTTCCTCATCTTATTCCTCTGTTGAATATTAAGTGCTGTCCAGCTTTGGGAAGAAGAAACACTGGAATCATGAGACCATAAGGTAAAAACCATTATAGAACATTGTGGAATGGAATGGCATTGGGTGGGCCATGCAGATCTTCAAGAAGGTACTTCACCACCTAGGGTTCATGTAACTCACCTCTTCACTTTATCTCAGTCTATACAGTCTTGGTCCACATTTCCATTAGCTGGAAGAGGCTTTAGTGCATGTACTCTGCGTGGGCAAACCCTTCTTCCACTATTGCAATTGAGGTTGTGAGGCAACATGAAGCACCTTAACATATAATCTCTATGATGTGAAGCACTTGTTGAGGAAAACTATAGAGAACATACATTTGGAGGACATATGTAATAGTAATGGACAACCAAGATGCATCAGACCCTGTTAATATCACAGCATAACTTGGATTATAGCACTTTGATTGTCATGACTCCAAAATAATGGGAAAGATAGCTTGATGAAGTTCTGAGAATTTTCAGTAAGGAATAGCGACTCCCTATTACAGAACCTCTAAACTTCCTTGAGATGAAGGAATAAATGTTAAAATACAGTTTAAATCTGTAGTGAGGTTAGGCCTTTAAATACTCAATTATTTGGTTCCATTCAGTATAAAAGTAATGTGAATAAATTAACATTATTAAAATGTGATTTTAACATGATTAAACACTGTTGCAGTTATTTAAGTCATTGACTTGACTTGTATCCTACCCTTCTATATGAACTGAGCATTCAGGGCAGTTCATAGGGGGATTTGAATCATACTGCTTTTTTATATATTTGTTAGCTGCTCCTGTCAATCATACTTTTATTTTTGCAGAATAACTTGGCCTTTTCTTATCAGTTGCTTGAAGTTACCTGCAAACCAGCACTGATACGATGCAGATTCCTCAGAACTGTGTTTCCTTATCACTCTTTAAAAAAACTATTTGCATGTCAGTTTTAAAATGCACAGGAAATGGTTACCAAATGGAAAGACTGGTTGTGGGGCAGATCTCAATGACAGCACCAGCAAAAAACTGGAATTCTGGGAGTTCTAGAACTTCTGGAAAACTCCAAGGTGAGAAAGGCTGCCTTATGAGGGTTTTTATGTAAATGAATACGATTATGCATATATATCGACCCAGCTCACTCAAGAGGAGCTGATAGTAGTGACTCACCTCTGAAGTCAGGGGAGCTAAGGTGCAAAGGCATTCCTTCTCAATGGTAGTGCCTGCTCTTTGGAATAACCTTCTAACTGAAATCAAATTATTCCCACCATGACTTCATTCCAGAAGTCGTGTAATACTGAGCAGTTCTGTAGAGCCTTTGTTGACTGACCTGGACCAACTAGATCTGACTGTATTAATCAGTGATGTTTGCTCTGGCTTATTTCATTATTTGGTTTTTAAAACAATATTCTTACTATGGACGTTTTATCATTATCGTCTATCACTTAATTTACAGTGGATGCTTTATGATATAGTAGCCAGTTTGATGTAGTGGTTAAGGCACCAGGCTAGAAACTGGGAGACCGTGAGTTCTAGTCCTGCCTAGGCACAAAGCCAGCTGGGTGACC